CTCTCTCTCTCTCTCTCTCTCTCTCTCTCTCTCTCTCTCTCTCTCTCTCTCCACGAGCATATGTTTTGCTGTCCTCTCCCTGAATGAAATGCAGAGGTGTAATAACGGTGTTGTCTTCAATGTTGTCCATTTATGGAATGCTGTTGTTCATATAGTGAATACCCTCACACAGTCGTCGACGGAGATGTCGTGCTTGTGTTCATTGCAAATTGTCGTCTAAATGTGGATGTCCGATCATCAGAAGTGGAGCTTTCGAAATGTGTTGTTTGCTGTTATCTTATTTCATGCCGTTGTCGATCCCTCGGTGGGGTGGCGGTTGTCGGAGGTCGAGGTGGCGGGGGGGGTGGGGGTGGTCCTTAACACATCTCGTGCCAAACCATATCCCTCCCCCCCAGCAAACCAACCCCCCCCCCCCCCCCAGATATGTACGCTATGGTTGCCGAGGGTGGTGGCGGGGTCCTTTGGGGGGGGCAAGTGAGTTTCGTGCCATCGCTCTTTCGTGGTGCGCGCGTATTTTCGTCGGGGACGTGGATGACGACTGTTATGGGGGTTGCCTTCCGGGGCGGGGGGTCCTTCGCCGACGAAATTGACGAAGGGTGGCGAGAAGATGGGTGGCGGGGTCATTGGCCAGCAACAGTGTACCCCGCGACCTTTCGTTTCGCCGTCAGCGATGAGCCCCATGACACCACCGTTTCGACGATAGGGCGATGGAGTTTTCGTTTAACACTCGTGGGAACTGCTCACTCGTCGCCACGCACCAAGCAGGAGTGTGTGTTTATAAGGATGCGGCCGTCCTTGCCAAATGCACGATTGGGCTCCAAACGTGTGCGCCACGGTACACACGTCAGCCTTCTCGTTGTGTCGCCTTCACTTGCTCCTGCCTCCTCTCCCCGCTTGTTCATCTCCGCGGCACGAACGTAGTCGCACGCTGCGCTTCGTCGTCATCGACGATCCGCACCTTCCGGCGGGTTCGCTGTGACGTGCGCGCGCCACGAAGGCGGGTCGTCGCCAGTTTATCTGGCAGTGTTCGACGTCGACGTCGTCTTCCTCGCCGCTTACATCGCCTTTCTCGCCATCGTCGCGGTCGTGGTCTACGGGGCAATCCACCATCGTTGTCGCAGACACCGCCGTGGGACATTTGAACCTCATCCGCGTTATTCCACTGTGGAGTACGCACCTGTGATTATTCGTCGTCTCCACTATCTTCACGTTCGCCGTCTTTCCCACCGTCACCGTCGTCGTCTTCGTCGCCGATAGGGGCCGTCGTCGACAACGTCTTTTGCACCGTCGACGACAACAACGACATCATCGCCTTACTGATCATCACAGTGGAGACAACGATCAAATTTGCACGACACGTTTCACCATCGATGCAGAGATCTTGACTCGGTGGGGTGGTCAAGCTCGAAGTGGGTCTGTCGCGCGTCATGTCGTCCCGCGGTTCTGGACGCGGCAAGTCCGCCGGGAAACTGGCAGTTGAGGCGGCTATCCGGGAGAAAAAGCGCTGCCACGTCGCCAACAAGCTCAGGAAGGTCGTCGAAGGCAGCTCCTCACTTGCGATAAACGTCGAGGATGAAGACTGGGTGGCGGAGAGGGTGGCGTCGCAGGTGGAAACCGACTTCGAGGAAGAGGAGGAAGTCCCGTTGAAGCGGAAGTCGTCGAGGAGGGGAAGTGGAGCCCTCTGGATCGAGGACATTGGCGAAAGACGAGGCGGAGGAGGCCGCGCAGTAATGGAAGACGTCATCGACGTCAACGCCGCTGTGGCATCCAGGCAAGGTGTGGGAACTGCCGTCACACACCAGCATCGCGCGCCAGTGCCACGTGTGAACGAAGGCCCGATCGCGCAAGAGGTTGTCGTCCGTGCACGAACACCAGGAACCCTGTGGGTGACGACGGGCACAGACATTGGTGTGAACGCGCAAGTCGTCGGTCAGGGGAAAAACAACCGCTCTCCTGCGCAGGAGCTGCGAGGGGCCGCATCAGGGGGGGCTGCGCACGCGGGGGAAGGGGCGAGGGCAGGCGGGGCCGCAGCGGGCGGGGCTTCTCACGCAGGGGAAGGGGCAAGGGCAGGCGGGGCCGCAACGGCGAGGGCTTCACACGCGGCCGAAGGAACGAGGGCGGGCGGGGTGAAGCCAAGGGGGGGGCACAGGTGGTGGAAGGGGCGAGGGCAGGGGATGTCGCAGGAGCGGGGGAGGACGACGAAGCGCTGATGAACAGGGTGCGTCAGCGGAGTGCGCGGTGTCGCACTTTTTCCAGTCAGGCCACTTCGGGCAACCGGAAAGCCAACAGGCTGTCACGCAGGATTTTGTATGTGATTGCAATAAATAAAATAAATTAGATAATGCAAATCCCTTCCTGTTGTGTGCGTCCGGCTTCGAGCGAGACCCTTCAATTGCGGTCTTTGCCGGTCCCCGGTCTTAGGAATCTTTTATTTTGATTCGGAACAGTAGAGAATTATGCAAATAAATAATTATAAAATTATGAGGTGCTATGCATGC